TTTTCGAAGCGACGCGAAGTGGCTGGGAAAAGATGAAATGAAAACACGGAACCGACTATATTATAATCTCCAGCGGAACTTAATACACTTCGTGGGAGTAGAGACGAGTCTACTCCGGTAGAACGTATAAAAATACACGCATGATACGAAATCTCGCGTTTTCAGGCCGCGCATTCTGACCTCTCTAAAAATATAATCCTCATCGATAAAACTGAATTTGCAGCCGGGCTAAATTAATTTCGACCAACAACGACGGGGAGAATGACACGAGAGCTGTGCGTATCCTCTTATCCGAAGCGCGAGTTGCTAAGAGGCTTTTAGTTGCTCGAAGAAAAGTTAAGGTCTTCGGTAAGGTCTGGGTTAAAAAACAATTACAGGCAGTATTATCCTACGAAATAAAAATCGGCTCAGTCCACATAGAAATTTAATTTACGAGCAACTGACTCTCGATTATTACCGAATTTCTTCACTTTTGCCAAAAACACAATTATTTACAAGTTACTGGAAGATATTTGCTTAACGAAAAAAGCTCCAATTTCAGTAAGTCACGTAAGGGATTCCGAGCTTCTGGTAGAGAGTGTATGTATAATAAAGGCGACGAAAGTGGGCTGGGAACCACGATCGAAGCAAGAATTAAGCATTATGGGAAATAAGAGTCCACTGAACGTAATTCTCGCGATAATAAAATTAGTCGGTTAGTAACCATTCGATGCTTCGTTATCGTTAACTCGTTACCTTCCCCCGTTTTTTTCCCCTCCCGTGCAACGATATGGCTTGCACTCACGTAACGCGGACTTTCGCGAGCCGTAATGCACCCATTCTTTTTTGTCACGGCCATTGAACGTAGATTAGATTTAACCTCAGGTGTGTCTTTTGCTTGGAACGAGGTCGACGCGGAAGAATGCACGAAAACGAACGGACGTTATGTCTTCGAAATCATTTGTAATAAGACGAACTAAATATTCTAATTAACTACATACGTTAGAGATCAATGTTAAAAGCGAAGGAAGAATGAAATAATCAATTACACAAGACGAATACCATCAGTTATATTTTTACGTTATAAGTGATCCTGTTTATCCACTGAATAATCAAAAAAGTGTATGTAACTATACCAATTTCAAGAAAGTAAATATTCTTATAAGGACCTACTTTTGTATCATAAATTTTTCTTATTTCTACTCGCTGGACTTTTAACGTCAGAACGCTCTCTGCATCACACATTATAAAATTATTCATGATCGAGTCGGTGTTCAGAAGTCGTTGGAGATCGGGGTTTTCGTGACTCTACCGATTCCCCGCCGTATAATGGGGACCGTTAATATTAGGGTGCACGTAGGCAGGGAAAATGTTGCTTTTCTGCTCCGTACAGCATGAACCGTGTACTCATTCGTTCTATTTCGAGGATATTGATCGGCTTTCATGCCATATGAGAATATAAGGTTTCGAGGGAAAGTTAAATCGTTTGCCTTACGCCTCGACCTTAATATCTTTAACCATGATCACTATAAACTTTCTCAGGAATCTGCGTTCTCATCTCGCTGACTAGTCCCCCATCGTTGCAATGTGTATGCAACGATGGTCACTCTCTAGTCGTGACTCTAAAGCTTTCTTTCGTTGTAAACTGAATATTTACTATGCTCAAATTCTAACCAAGGTTCCAATAAACCAACGAACAATTTAGAATAGGAATTTGACGAAGACATGAAATTTCTTCTGGACGTTTGACTATGCAGGGTGTAACGTTAAATGTGTTATAGTTTAAGAGTTTCTAAATTGAATAATGTACAATAAAGAGGCTAAAGAATGTGGGAGATAAAATACAAAAGATTATTCAGTTTTGTCAGACTATCGAGTCAAACTCATATGACGCAACTTTTGGCTTGATGGTAAAAGTTAATCTTTATATTGATGAAACAGAAGTTGTCTAGGGTTCATGAGACTTGAGAAGATTGAAAAAGTGAGTAAAGTAAAGTTTGTCTTGTGCAATTCTTGTATCGATAAAGAGAGGGGCTTCAACTTTGCAGAAATTCTGTCTGTGGTAGATGTTACTTAAAGTGATGGGACCCAACATTTAATGACCCTTTATTTCACGCGAATACATGTAGATGATAACAAGGTAACCTTAATTTTTTCAATGAGGTTACTTTTAATGAATTTACTCGAATACAGAAAAAAAAATACAATTAATGAATTCCATATAACACTCGTATTATTCATTTAGCGAACGCTGTGTATTAATTAAAGAACGTACTGTACCAACACATACTAAAATATCATTAACGAAACCGGTTGTATAAAAGATAACATAGTTTCATAATTGAAAAAGTGTTCAATTTATTCTAATTAGTCTTATTTTAAATACTGAATTTTAACTGATTTGATAAATCATCGATTGATCATAAAGTATCTGTATAATAGTTTCATACAACACTGTGATCCTCTATTATAAAATTATTTAATCAATCAATATTCAACATCAAATTTGTCGAGTCCATTCACAACTCCTACTAAATACCAGAATTACCAAACTTAATCTAATATTCGTCCGTATTAACTGATTTCGGATTGATTTTCGTAACTTAACCTTAGTTCCTTATTTACTCTAATACTTTGCTATACGTTAGGTTAGTTGTACTGTACAGAAGAATAGAAAACACAAAAAGATGTACCTCAACAATTCATACTTTCATCTAACCAAATTGATCGCAAAAAAATCGTGTCACATTCAACCAAATAACGTTCGCCGTTCGAACGCCGCACCGCGAAAAGTAAAAATCAATTCACGAAATATTTACCTTCGTGTCGTCCACAGTTGGGAAGCTTCTCGCACACACCTGTTTAAATCTTCGTTTACGTTTAATTATCCGTTTCTGCGCAACCACGAACGCGCCTACACTGTCGATTCGGTCGAGAATCGTTCTCGGTATCTCGATCCTCGATACACAACGGGCACAACGATCCTGGTTTTATTTACGGAACTACGACACTGTTGATCGCGGCGCGAAATCGGCCGCGATTCGAAACGCGCCGCTCGGACATCGCGCACGTTCACCGCTAAACATTGTGGCGTAAGAAAAGAAGAGAACAACGAGGGTACGTGTGTATACGTTGGATAGAGAAAGAGAGAGAGAGAGAGAGAGAGAGTGAGAGAAATCGAGTGTTAGAAGGGTAGAGGAGATGAACGACGAAACAGCCCCCGGCCGGGTCAACGCATGCGCCCATTGCACCCTGTGCCCAACCCTGTTTTTACCGGAGACCTCCCTTAAAATGCGAGAACACTTCCTGGTCGACGTTTCGCAAAACGTGGCCGATATTTTAGAATTTTTCTCGCTCATAGAACGTTGCAAAATTGAGAGGAGCTACATACGCCATCGTTCACGAGTGTTCAGGCAATCGATCGAATTTGTTCGGGAGACTTTTATCGTTTCTCGAGAGTTTCGTTAAATATTATCAGAGAGTTTATATCTCATTCCTATTTTTTTTTCTCCACTTGAAAAACCTGCACATAACGCGAAGACCACCGTGAAATTATTTCTGTTGAGGTAACACATCTTGTTAACGTGAGAAAATCGTGAATTTAATATCTTATGTTCTTTATTTTTACGCTGGTTTTGAATTCGTAAATCCTTCCATACGGCATGAACAAAAAAATGGTAGGTGATTGAAGTGCCAGCAAGCTGTATTCACGACGAGAATCGACTGAAATGTCAGAAGATCTAATTATTGAAGGAACTTGTATGGATGTGGTAGCACGAGACGCGTACACGACACTGTTTGTTTCTCATTCGATCGCTCAAGCCTCGCGGGGACAATAGGTCTTCGAAATGTCAGGACATTGTTGCAGGATGCCTGCTGTTCGATAAGTTCGAAGGTAACACTCGATGAATGAGAAACATTCGACAACAATGACGACTGATAATAAGTTTTACAGAAAGTAATTACTGTGCAAATGGAAAAATATGATTGAATATTGAAAATCTGTTGTAAGGACGTCCTCTTTTTATTATACTACGTTTTATTATTTATTGAAGTATCTACTCAGATATACATAAAATTTAAACGTCATTTTGATTAAAAAGGTGCAAGGAGGCCAGAATGTTTATTTTCTAGTAAAGACTCGACAACGAAATTCGTATATAAAGAACTTTGACAAGCCCTAATCAGGCCTAAAATACCCATTCTAGTCCTAACAGTTTCCACAATTACGAAACCCCCTTTTGCGAGAAAAAAATTATATACAGCATATAGTATACCGTATTTTAATATGACATTCATGAATTCATCTTGTCTGTAATATAAGTAAACGCTCGAAATTCGGTGTTCGAGGCTTCCGAGCTTAATAGCGATGTTGTCTACTTCAACTTAAATTTTACCCTTTTCATATTCGCGTCCGGAGTCAAGCAATTTACAGTTGTATACATATATCGGTGTGGCATTCATTTGTAAAGCATGAAACATTGCGATGCAATAACAGAAGGGTCCTCCAACGTGACAAGCAAACGCGACCTGATTACTCAACGAATGGAATTTCAGATACGCCGATAGCTCGTAGGAGGACCATAATTCGTGTCTCACGCTGCTACAATAACTTCGCGAGAGGACACGGTATCTATTTAAATTCCAATTGCCGTTATACGAGCAACCATAAAGCATCGTTGAAGTATCACTTTTCATGAATGTTGTATACAATCGTCGCAATTTCTCAGATCATTCGTCTCCGTCAATTCAACGCTTTAACACAACGTGGAAGTAAAAGGACTATATTTTTTTTACAATCTTACGTATTTATGTCTCCACTGGTTGAAAAAGAATGACGTATAGCAAAATTTATCTTAACGTTTGTCGAACGATGCATGGGTCAATAGAAACCCAGTTAAAAAAAATTAATATATTAAAGTATCGCCTGACGCTCACTAGTTGACTTTAGAGATAAAAATCGACTCTTAGTGTTAAAGGTTAATAATAACGTAGTGTTGATTTAAATAAATAAAAACACTTTATTCAAGCAAAGACATATCTTTCAGTTCTAGTTTTGGGAACTTTACTCTTTGTTCAATCCATTTTGCTACTGTAAGAAGTCTTTCCTCATTAAAAGAGGGAGCCATAAGCTGTAGGGACAAAGGTAAACCATTTTTGGAAAGTTTAATAGGCACATTGATTGCTGGTATTCCTGCCATATTAGCAGGTTGAGTACAATAATCTTGAACTAAACACTGGGTTTGATTATCCAATGAAACAAATTCATTGTAACTTGGTGCTTCTGTTAGAGTTGTAGGAGTGAGTAAAAGGTCTATATTGTTATTCCATACTACATCAAAATCATTAGAGATCAGTCTTCGCATTCTCATTGCTTTCACATAATACTCATCATAATTTTCTTCTAACAGGAAATAATTTCCAACTAAAATACGTTCTTTTACTACTTGGCCAAAACCTTCTGTCCTTGTTTTTCTATAAAGATCATGTACCGATTTCCATTCATCTGCTCTGAGACCATACTCCATACCATCGTAACAAGATAAATTGCTGGCAACATCACAACGATTTAAAACTGAATAACAAGCTATAGAATAACTGGTATGTGGCATCGACACCATAGAAATTGATGCTCCAGCTTCCTTTAAATACAGAGAGACTTCATCCCAACATTCTTGAACATCAGAGCTTATATTTTTCACTTTATATTCCTTCGGTATGCCAATTCTAACATTACTAATATTTATTGAATCTGATACATTAAATGGTACATATTCTTTCTGACTAGAAGTAGAATCTGCTCTATCTGGACCAGCTATGGTGTTTAGAATTAATAGCACATCATCAACATTTCTTGCCAAAATACCTGGTACATCCATAGAATTCACAAGAGGAATAAGTCCATAGCGTGACACTAACCCATAAGTGGGCTTTAGTCCAATAACACCACAGTACGATGCTGGATTTCTTGTTGAACCACCAGTATCTGAACCTAATGCAGCAAAACAGCTTCCAGTGGCTACAGCCACAGCAGAACCGCCACTGCTTCCACCTATAAGTTACACATTGTTTATAAGGTATATGAACAAAAATTAATAACTTGTACCTGTTATATGCCATGAATTCTCATCATTATTCTGTTCTGTATGTTTTTCCATAGAAATCTTATTGGAATAACATTTTGTTAATATGTCTGAATTCCACAAATTTTTTGTTGGCCCATAATATGAATCAATAGTTCCTGAACCCATTCCAAATTCATCAAGATTGGTCTTGCCAATCAAAATTGCCCCGGCATCTTTTAAACGTTGGTATACAGTTGCATTGTATGGAGGCACAAAATTTGAGAGCATTTTGGAAGCACATGTTGTCAGGTGATCATTTGTGCAATAGTTATCTTTAACTGCAATGGGAATTCCATCAAGCTTCCCCAACAATGCATGATTCTCTTGTCTGGAGTTTGAATTTTCTGCCTCTTTCTTTGCTGTTTCATCAGTAACAGTGATATAAGCATTTAATGGTTTAATAAACGTTGTCAACTTCACAGCTGCTTTTGTAATATCAGACGGACGCACATCGCCAGCATTTATTTTGTGGCTGACTTCTTTTATCGATGTAGAGAGTAATTTGTTCATTTTTTGACACTACCGCTACAAGAAACACCGCTTATCCGTAACCTCCAATATATGTACATACATAAAAAATAACCTCACTTAACTTTCACGTAAATTATTGTAACAAGTCTATATAGTAGACCTAAATGAAATCAACATTTCTCTCGATATATATTCGTCTTTTTAATATTAATTGTTAAGGATAATATGTTCATTATTTAAAAAAGACTTTTATGGAAAAGGAAGAAAAACAGGTTGCATATGGTTACATTAAAAGATAAATAATCATTAACAGTTTTAGAGAATGTTATTTCCAAGAAAAAAGAACATACTGTCTATTATTCAATAACTTATTAACATCTTATTGTCAAATTCTATTATTTTAAGTAGTATCCTTCAAATTTGTTCGACCTTGACTCATAATTGTTTTTGGAGAAAAATTCATCATAAAACAATGGGCAAAATAATTATTCATCACACCCTCATAATGTCATGAATTTATTATAATAAATTTCGACTATCGGTGATCTTGAAGGCAAGTTTTCGAAAAACCCGCGCTATTTGCGATTATGTTGTTTCCAATGTGGCCAAATTATATGTGGAATTTCCCTGGATCGATAGGTACAGTCGGGACTAGAGATAGCGTGCAAAATCACTAACGGTGATTTATCAGTGATCGTCGAATTACGATCACGGTCGTGATTTAACTTCATTCACTTTACAAGAGGTAAAGAAGTTTCATATTTGCAATTATTTTGTGATACTATAATAGAAATCGGTATCCTGTGAGAAAAATCGTATTTAACGATATGAAATGAATAATAAATAACGGTCTTAGGAATTTATACTAGAGAGCTAAACGTCGAACGGGAGAGAGCGAGAGCGGTAGAGCGAGCCGCGGTATCGGTGCTCTCCGTCGGTGTTGACGGGTGCCGAGGAATTTCGGTGGTCTATGGGAGGGAGGTATGCGAGCGAGAGAGTACGGTAGAGCGTGCCGAGTATCGGTGCTCTCCGTCGATCCAACGCGCTAGTGAGTTGCGTCACCCAGTTTATTGACTTAGCCGTGTACGCCGTGTACCAAGGTCGTACCATCCCGTGCAGGTCTGTGCTTGCTTCCTCACTTTGTCGTGAACCGTCGCGGAGGGTGGTCGCGCGTCTCATACTCGTCCTTTCTCTTGTTACTAACCCATTGTTTGTTGCAGGCATTCGACAACCATCAATTTATTTACTGTGCATATTATTAATTTATTTACTGTGCATATTGTTGTGTCCCCTTTCTTGTTACTAATCCCTTGTATGTTACAGATGTTCGAGAACCATTGGCTTCGATATTTATTTTCTTATGTACTGTGATTCATTTACTGTGATTTATTTACTGTGCATATTATGTATTCTATGTGTATTGTATAATGAAAAATATTTTTCCAAACAGTTATTCCATCGAAAGAAGACATCGATCAACGTCTACATCTTCAAAGCGTGCGTCTACCACTGCGTTAAGTTACTGTAAGTTAAACTTAAATCATAATTCGATATTCATTGTTATATTCATATTCATCATCACATCGTTTATTATTAATTTTAGTCTATCTATTAATAGACTTAAATTGTGATCAGCCATTGTGCATACCAAGTTATTATTAATTCATTTTGCTCGTTGATTTCTCTACACAGACTTGGGGTATGGGCAGTGGGTCTGTACCTATTATGGTACGGGCAGTGGGCCTGTGCACTAAGACTGTTTGCCGATCCCTCTGGTTTCTATTGAGAAGCCAGATATCGGACGTGTTTAGTCTTTGCCTGGTAAGTAGGATTTGGAGTAAAGGCTCGTGCGCGCCTGGGTACAACGTACCCGCCTACGGAGTAGACGGGAGTCTGCTCCGTAAAAGGACTCTGTTTTACAGGGGATCTCGCTTGCACTACCATACTTGGTCATGACCTGTGCTCGGGTCTGGTACGTAGGTGACCAGCCCAAAGGGCCTGGAAAGTGAGAGATGGATTCGGGTTTGCGAGGTTGCGCCCGTCTTTCCTATTTTCTTAAACCAGGTTCTGGCGACAACACTTTCATCGCGATACTTGTTCATACTGTAGTTTAACGTGGTTCATCGTAGAATTAATTTTTGGCTTGGTATATTAGGTGCGTAAACGAAATGATCGATGGAACTTTTTCCATTCCGTCTATCTCTTTCGTTTGAGTATTAGCGACTACATTGCGTTAAATTTGTTATTTCGTATTACTAGCATTAATTCGTATTAATTAGAATATTAAGATAATATTAGTTCTAAGCTGAAGAACGAAGACAACCGACGAGGGAACTTAGTTTTTTATAGGTTTAGGCTCAAGAAAGAAGTCATCCGCCGAGGGATTTTAGTATCGGTAGTATTATATAGTTAAGATTTAAGTAATTTATAAGGTTTATTGTGAAAGGTGGGTAGATGTAGAACTTGTGATTCCATCTACTTGCCTTGGGCCTCCACTCGCAGCAACCTCCTCGTGGTGAGGCCTGGGCAATCGGTATTGTCATCGGTAAAGTACTGTAAACTGAAGACAATATCGAGCTAATGGCTGCGAACTTCGAATCTATCTCATAAAACCACGTTCTATATTACATCGAACTAGGATTATTTTAGAAATCGATATGAGATTCAAAGTGTAAAAATGTCTAGTACTTTGAATGTTTTAGAAAATTATTCGAGATAAAGATGTATGGAACTACTGAAAATTACTTTAGATTCCTTTTCCTTATTCTGTAAATTCTTTGATTGGAATATGAATGCTACTGGAAGTATGAACATTTGCACAGGACAATGATATAAATGGAACTTTAACACTATTTTAAGTGTTACAGTGATATTTCCTGGGCCTCCGTATTAGCGCACTGAATCGAGCAATTGAATCAAATAGATGTATTGTACCGTAGCGCATCGTATTGTATTTCAAACTTTTATATCATTATAATTTATATGTATATATGTATATTCTAATAAACATACGTCAAGTAATATAAGCTTCATTTCATCGAATTGTCTTAAATATAACTGCATAAATATTGTACAATCCTATACTAATTATAGTTGTCTGGTTCAACAGGTTACTACAGAAACTAACTACTGCCTACGTCTTTTAAACTTGGGCTGTAGTAGTATCTGCAGAAACTGCCATGGTTGCTGGGGTTATTATATAATTTGCTCACGGAAGCACGCACAAGTGTCAGTCAGATTTCGACAGTTGTACGAGCAACAGTGATAGAGGATCACGTTCTATGACCCTACTTACTCACACACACGGGGTCTCAGGCGCCTCCACCGGGGGCTCTATGACCCCACGTTCTCACCACGTGGAGTCTCTGGCGCCACCTGTGGGGGTTCTGTGATCCCACGCTCTCACCACACGGGGTCTCTGGCGCCATCTGTGGGATTCTGTGACTCCATGTTCCACCACACGGGCGTCTCTTGCGCCTCCACCGCGGGGTTCTATGACCCCACGTTCCCACTACGCGGGGTCTCTGGCGCCATCTGTGGGGGTTCTGTGACTCCATGTTCTCACCACACGGGGTCTCTGGCGTCTCCACCGGGGTTCTATGACCCCACTTCCTACACACACAGGGTCTCTGGCGCCTCCACCGGGGGTTCTATGACTACATGTCCTCAACACAGGGGTCTCTTGCGATGCTGCTGGGGTGCTATGAAACCACTTTTTCACACACTCGGGGTTTCTTACCACACCGAACGTACAGTTTCATCTATATAGAAGCATGTGACAATTTCAGAAGGAATTGCTATTTCTTAAAGGATTGCATACAAATAATCAAATTACAAAACGGTTTCAGTTAGAGATGGCGTGCAAAATCACTAACGGTGATTTATCACAGTGATCACCGAATCACGATCACGGTCGTGATTTAACTTCATTTACGACCATGATTGCGATTTTTTTATCTTCAGTGAATTTGCTCACTGCGATCGTAAGTCCTTGATCTTTAAACAGAAAAACGTATTCAGTATGATTTTACGATGAATTACATTACTATTTGTGTTTGTAAAAATCAGTAGAAAAAACAAGAAATTCTGAAAGAATGATTTGCTAGGTAACATGTGGATTATAATTTACAATCATTAATTTATTTATTATTCTTCATTGTTTCTAATTATTCCTTCACTTTATACGATATACCTCGAATTTTTGTTTTGATGTCGTTAATATAAAATATACAGATTATGTGTCGAGTGTAAAGAACTGTGACAAAAACTTACATTATGGTCATGTTAGGTCTATTATATGTAGAGGTATGAGCTCCTATATTTCGACAATGCTATAACTTTAACGAAGGTAAATAACATTGTAATTTTATTTTTATCTTAATAAACCTGTTAACGTGGGAAATAAATTTTGTTTTATTTCTAGCAATTGAAAAATGATGTATTGTTGACCAATATGGCTTGGTCGAGGTTCAGTAGGGCAATTTGGACCAACTTGTCATAATTTATGATATTTGCCAAATAGGGGTATCCAGTAGGGGGAATAATAGACTGAATTCCTGCCTCACCAATTTTAACTGTATAGAATGACTCAAACACCCCAGGATTTGATAGATCTAAGAGCTCTACGGTCTCTGCAGAAAATGAGGTTGAGGAGGAAGGAGCAGTAAATAGAGGCCTCATCGGAGGAGCAGGAGTCGGAAGTAAATCTTGTCTTTGTGTCTTTAAGACAACAGCTTCTACCAAGCTTTGAAAAGATGAGATTGATTTAGAGATATTTGAAAATTGATTGACACATTTGGTCGTTTCATCAACGTAAGAGGCAGCTTGACACTTCATGACTTCCAGTTGGGAAGCCAAGTCTGTGATACGACCTTCCAGATTGGCAAGATAATCAGTCGAAGAGGTTCCCAGTTCCTTGGCTCTGGAAATTCCAAGCACGTAAGGCTCCGCCATTGATGGATTGCTTAGAAGGAATGATGCCAGCTCTTTGATCATTGTATTGGCTTCTCTTCGCTCGAGAAAACGCAGGGTTGGCATAATAGCAACCCAGAGATTAGTATTCGGACATCCGGTCTCATAATGCAACTCTTTCGCTTTACTCATAAAAGGAATCGGAGTCATGCTAGTGGAGGCGGCTTTTAGTGCTGCTTTATATGATCGTGAGGCAGATCCTTCAGGAGTGGGCTTGGATTCATGTGGGAGCCATTTCTTAACCCATTGCTCTTCCAAGTCGAAAGGAAGAGGTTCTGGAACTACTCCAGGGGGTGCTGTTTTTCCACTCAAGCTTAGCCCTTTTAGAATACCAGTATCATCAAAGCTTTCTCCAAACTCTTCATTCCCTTGCAGAAATGCCAGTTTGATCCTGGATGGATCACTATTTCTAATGGATTCTAGAAGAATCTTTGCTTCTTTTGGATCCATCCATTTTCCTCGCAGTCCTGGCAAAAACAGTGTGGGGATACTGTTATGCTTCAGGTTTGTTTTATTATGAAGACCAGCGAACAGTGACTCCTGTGTGAAATGTAATTCACACACACGGTACTGCCTTCGTCTGGATGGATGGACGTCGATTAAATATAGCCTGCATATGGCCAAACACCATTTTATTCGTCTCTGAAACAGTTAATTTTTACAATTTAAAAAATTTTTGTAATCCTTCGATATGTTCGTATATCATTAAAGGCTACCATATATATCCAAGTTTCAACAAAATCCGAAATATTACCCAAAAAGTGTTAGACTTCACATAGAATGACCCTTCGTTATTATTGGGAGAAAATTTGTAATATGAATAAAATTACAAAAACTGGTTTTAAGTATAATCTTACCTCTTTCTCCTGTGGTAAAACATAGGATTTAACTTTACTCTTCCCGCTCCTGCAACCAGGAACACAGCAAGACACCATTTCCGTAAATTTGTAATCCTCTTGCAACCACCTGCAACAGCATGCAACAGTCAGGCTTGAACTCCCTCCACCGCCAAAACGTGTTTTATCCACCGACTACATAGCACTACATAGAAGTACATGTGTCGAAAAATGCGACTTTAGCACCATTGGTGATGTGACTCGGTAGCTTATGACTGACCACACTATTCTAATGGGAGTTAACAGCCCGTGGTATTCGCGTTGTGTTTGGTTGTGTTGAAGTGGCGTTCCGGAGAACGGAGACGTTTTATATTTTGATAATCGTGAATAAACAACTCTGTCTCGATAAACAACTGGTACCAATTGTCTTGGGGACCAAAGAAACATCAAGCAGTATCATTTTAAGGCCCCTGTAAGATTTTATAACTTCAAAAATGCCAGACACATCCAGCATATCTCAGTATCCATTAAAGGTAAATATTATCATAATTTTTTTATTACGTCTTTTCCATTTTCTCACTTGACAATTTCTTGTTGTACGTGAACTATTTTCTACGCAATTTAAAGTGCATAATTTAATGAATTCATTGCACGTTTTATATTTGTTATTCTCGTGAACTCACGTTCTTACTGCTTTCTCTTCGCACGTCCGCACGCGAATATTTAAATGCAATCAATTATTAGAACAGATGTCTTACAATCCCCTGTAATTACATTTTGATCAAGATTTATGTAATTCTTTTGACACAGTGTACGTTCGAAATAAAACACAATTATGTAAGGGTGGACGGCTATGAAACAATCCCATAACTTGCTTGACAAGTTTCTCGTATTATCGAGGCAGTTTATACATTACCATAATTATATTTCTATGAGATCAGAATACCACACATTGACTTAATACTTTATTACAATCCTTTTGACCATTTATTACCGTCCTCTCGGATTTTTTCAGGTGATATTTGCAATTCATTTAGTGCTAGTAACATGGTAAGAATAATTTTTATATTATAATATACATTATTTAGTGTAGAAGTATACTTGGAGGTAAGTCACTAATGAAGTAGTAAATTCTGTGTGGCTATATATAAGCTATTTTTCAAGTCAGACCCAGCTAGGGTCTTTGAACTTAAATCTGTCTGTAACCATTCAAACATTTTTAGAACTGACTGGAAAAAAAATTAATTTATACTTGATTGATTCAATACAATGAATTAGTAAAATTAGTAATTTCACATTTGAGACACTTAGTGCTTTTAGGTAAGCTCTAAGACCGTATTCAATTATTGTGCCACGGTTTGCTCCATAATTGACTTTTTCAAAGCTTTCTTTATGGTCTAGCTGAGTTTATTATCTCACTATATTGTAATTTCCAAGTATACTTTGTAACTTAGTATTATATTATGGGCTGTGTCTTCAATAGTTAAAAATAAGTCATTTTTAGGGGTATTCAGGGAAACTGGTGCCCAAAATCAGTGATGTTTTACAATTTCCTGTTCTTCATCTGTTTGTTATGGGCCATTCACCATATCGAATCAGATGAACCATTACAATTTGTAAGCTAATAACTTTATAATGTGTTGTATAATGTTTAATCTGAGTGTGCATAATAGAATTGATCATTTTAGGCCCTATTCATAAATGTAATTTCTATATTTTTTGACGTAGTAACGTTAGCAGTTTATTTTCCGACAATACGTAAGTTAGAACTGTTTTTTAATTCATTCGCGACTAACATATGCCATATGGAATTACATTATTTTGATTAACCCCTCTACATAGAAGATGTACCTATCTGTTTGTACGAACTTGGAGGTGCATCTGAGAAGTTTAGTGCAGCGATTATGATCATAAACATGATCGCGCGTGCCTTGACGACCCCGTGCCTACTGAAAATAGGCCAAAAGAGGGGCGGATGGTTAGCAACAATGTTCACGCAGAGTCCTGCAATGGGTCAGTAATACAATGGATACAGATCCGTGTTTTGTAGACCTCCATTGCTTCTTCAAAGTTTTGCTTTAAGTAGGTGCATGAGATGTTTTTTAATTATCTACAAAATGTATATTATTTTATTTTAAGCTATTTGCATGCACTATTGTTACTTTAAAATGATCTCAAAGTTGGCTGTTATGACTATAAACAATGTATGTGTAAGTTCTGTGAAGTGAGCTTTATGTTGTTTTGTATATGCTGCTTGGGTGATAGAAGTATAGGTACGTAAAGATTGTTTTATTTTAGGTTTTGGTCGACATGATTATGAGGACATATCTCACCCGATTCCACAAAACTCTGACTTTGCTGGAATCTAAGGACCTAACATGACAATTTATAAAATTTGATATCGATGTATAACACATTTTTGTTACATCTGTTTTAATAATAAGATATATGAGCACGCATAGTCTGAATATTCAGATCTATTTTTCAGAACGAAAGTTCCACAAGGTAGAATTGTTAACAATGAGGAAACTCTTTACGAAAACAAACTGACAAAAGGTGATTACAGTTTTTTGTAGACACATTGCCTGTTTTCGGATTGTACTATGGCAATAAAACAGACAATGAAACGAGGCTTGTTGTACCTGCCATTGTTATCTGCTTGTCCATTTACAATAATAGCGAACTGTACCATAATAATGAATACAGAATTATTATATTATTGTAACACTGCATAATAAATTTTATCTTAGTTATATATTTCGTATACGGAAATAACAATTTATTCCAATATTGTTGTTTGTATTTGTAGTTTATGAATAAAGTTGTTTGTAGCAATAGGTTGACCAGACTTTAGGTATACATATATCATTATCTCAGTTGCACAAGTGTACAGTACTTGGCATCAATTTTTATAGTTGGACTCAATATTATTCGAAATTTCAAGTCTGAAAGATTGACATCGATTCGATGAGAATAGTGTCTCAACAATTGCATTAATTTGAATTGTATTGATTATTTTCAAATATTTTAAAGTCCTTCGTTTGTTTCACGGTTACGAACGAAAAGAGAAGAAGATTTGAATCTCCTACGCGTCGAGGGTGGCGCGAGTAACCAAGGCGAGGTGGCGCCACCGACGACCTATAAGAGACGCGTCGGTGAGGCGGCATGGTTCAGTAGTGTGCGTGACCGTTCCGGGAGGAGGGTGGCTCCGCGCGCGGCCGCACCGCGAAACCGTGCCCACTTGCCTCAACCACGGACGTCCACTCGTTTTCTCGTCTCGTGAAAACATGGCGGCCAGCGACGACGAGCCGATGCATCTCTACGAGGTCTTTCAGAACTGCTTCAATAAGATCGCCAACAAGCAGCCCGGTGAGTGTCGTCAGCCACGAAACAGTCCCTTTCCCGAGCCACGGGTCACCGGAATCTAGTGCTGTGCGTGCGCACCGTGTGAAAAATACACAGGGAGTCTCTTGTGTGTCTCTGGTGCTTACTGGGCTACGAACGAGCAATCCGCGTTTAATATCACGCGCGTCGCTCTGCTGTGCTATCTATGTGAACAGATATCTCCCGCAAGGGGCGAGTGAAGATACGGGTGTAGTGATACGGTCGATCGAGCCTTCGATCGTCTCGAAGATCGCGCCGGACGTATCTCGCGACCGACTCGCTCCGTTCTGTGTTTTGGTTTGCTTGTCAGTGCTTTGGACAGTGCTGCCCCGTCATAGTGAAACTAACCCCCCCTCCGGGAGAGATCTGTTCTTCCCTGTGTCCACGCTGATCCCTTATCATTGTTTCTCACCAGGTATATACACAAGCTTCTCATTCATTCGTTCCACCACTGGACGTTGAAAAATCTGTCCCTCTTTAACCTAACCTATAAACGTATACACACCAGAGACACGACCCCCGCTACGTCTTGTCGTTCGCTGTCATGTGCAACAGCGTCACATTGTTGTATGACATGCCATGCCTCTCTCGTGTGACACGGCCCCGCGTCCCGAGAAAAAGACACGTCCAAGGTTACTATAGATTTTTCGTGAATCGTGTACCGCCCTGTGTTTATGAATGTAAGGGGAACGTTAGTTGAATGTTTGCCCACGGTTTGGGCGTGCTCCGATCGCGCTACCGTACCACGTGTCTCCGCGAGACGCCACTGGAGCCAGAAAGAGAATCGTTAGGGGTTAATCGCTCGAACGTAATGCCAGGAGACCATAAATCCGAGTCTTTTTCTCGGCGAACAGCCCCTGGAGATCTCGAGGGAAGGGACTTTGGTGCTTTACTTTTTTTTTTCTCTCTTTTTCACCGCCCCCTTTATTTTCCTTCTTTTCATACACCTGCCCAACAGGGAGCGAGCAGGACAGAGTCTGTGCTCGACGGAGAAAGAGAGAGACAAACCGATATGCCTCTCCGCGATGCGCCGTAACCGCTGCGTGTTGTAAAACCGTACCGGGGGATAGTGGTTCTCATTTTTTCGCGAGCCCGTAAGACGTCAATTTCGGGGCACGTGTCTCCACCGTTGTGACTGTCTTCCGTTCTCAGTTCCGTCTAAATAGTAGATTATCGATGCCCCCGTGCATGCGTTTACCGCCGTCGAATGTTTCTTATCTGTTTTCAAAAACCCGATCTTATCTGGCTGACATTGTTGAGCTTTGATTTATCGCCGATAACGGCCCGATAAACAGCACGGCAATGTTGTCCGTCGCGAAACTGCGACATTGTTCGAAATATCTGGTATAACCGTGAGTAAGGTATACATATACTGTTAGGGGAGTGTTTTTCTGGTGCTGGACACTTTAAGGTTTTTACAAAAAAAATATGTAAGACGTTTATATAACTCTATAAAAGTTTTCAATTAATACCAATCGATAGATAATTTCAATAAGCATTTCTCTGATTTTGCAGAATATCAAAAATTTGTTCAAATGTAATATAAGGAATCAAACGCAGTATTCTGCTCTGCCTTATAATTTCCTTGTCAGTGAAGATTTCTCAGTTTTCGGTTATATGTTTCTAAATGGTATCGTAATTTATTTGATTAATTTCATTACTCCAATACTTGTCAAAAATGGCAACAATTGTTTTTAATGAATACACGTTATAGTGACGATAAACAAAATATCTGGAGATATACGATCAGAAAATATTAATCACGATCCGTAATGTTACGTCAGTAATTTACGGATAAATAGCCGTTTCAGTTGGAACGATCATTTTCCGGGTACACCGAAAAACGGACAGGACCTATTTTTCGACGACTATATTTCGACTAATTGGCTCGCACGATAAACCCTATCGTAAATTAATAACGGAAGTTGCAGCGCGACGGACTGCCACGCGCGAAATGTTTGATAGATTAATTGCACGGGAACGAGCCGCAATTTTATTACGATGCACGCGCGCCGCTCGTGTTTAATCGCCGATTAGATACACACAACGCGATTCCTGTCTCGGGTTTTACGCGATGTTTTTCGAGCGTCGGATCCGACGACGTCGATTTCGAGAATATACATAATTATGCTCGGTTTGTTTTGGGATCGATTCACGCTCGTCTTACTCATTTATATTCCGATGTTTGAGCGGATCAGCGAACGTGTCAGGTTCGTTAAGCGTCAATTGTTCCGGCGAAACGGTCGCCAATTGCCAACAATCCGGTTAATTTTTCGCTCGTTTTGCCTCTGCTAATTATCGACGATTGCTATTTTGAATAGAAACACTGTACAGGGTGTTCCGTAAGACTGCAGTCAAAGCTATACTATGAAAAAAAAAAAAAAAAAACGGTACGAAGAGAAAGACAATTAACTCTTTGACACGAATTATTGAATGTGATCGTTATTCGTTCGATTATTTCATTCTTTGCTCGATTACATTTCATTTTGTTGTACTGTATATTAGGTGTTCAGTGAGATAGAATCGAAAATGGAAAATTTAATAGTTTCCACGTAGCCCAAGGAATGAACCTCTCAAGAGATAAAACTAATAATATCCATATATCCGCTCGCTATATTCGTACTTCCTTATTTATCGGCGTGAAATAACGTTCTTCGAATTCCGATTCGCTCCCGGACTTGTGCTATACTCTTTTTTTCAGAAATTCAACCTTTTTTTGTTAGAAATTTCTTGTCCGATGTGACGATTGAAATTTTATTTATTTATTAAGGATTTTATTGCGACAAGAATAAGACAGAAAATGTATTAAATCCGATGTTGACTTTACCATTTATCATATTTCACATAGTCGTAGGAGAGACCGGGGTTGAAAGTAACAGGGGTAAGTTATAACAGGATTTATAACTTTTTAAATAATCAATAAATTATGATAATTATTCATTATTATAATTAATTGATCTCCTTAAGAAGATAATGTTATGTTGTGCTAGTTAAAAAAAGACAACTTATGTCGAGTACCTGATTGATTAAGAAATAATATTCTGTTGAGCCAATTAAAGAGGAAACTATAATTTTATGTTGATTTTTTGTAATTATCAGCTAGTTTTAATTATTTCTTGTCTTTCACTGTACACAATTTTGCTTAATCCATTTGTGGTACAACTTTACCCTAACGCAGTTACTTTTAACCCCAAGATGGAGCAAACTGTAAAAATCCGACTCAGTCAATTTTCTCGGTCATAATATTTTCAACAATTAATTTAAAAACATTTCATCGCTATAGAACTAATCTTAAATTTCCAGCTTATCCGTATAAACGAACCTGAAATCTTTAACTAAAATACAGGCTATTTTATTTCATGAAAACCAAAAACTGTTACTTTTAACCTCGGTCCTCCCCTACATGCTATAAATGTATACATGTAATCCGTAATCAACGTATAGCAATATCTTACTGCCAGGTCAACAAAGAATCATGGATTATTTTATATTACAGCTGAAGGTTCAATGAATCACTCGAACGATAGGAATTCCAACAGATTCGGTGTATTCTCACTAACAAAACATTAACACTGTATCGTATTTCCGGCCGATGCGGAAACATAAAAGAACCGTCTGGTTCGTATTTGCGCGTGCAGATATCCCGTAAATCGATCATTTTCACGCGTACCACGAGAAGGTCGGTCGGTATTCAAAGGGTTAACGGAAGCCCGCGTGCACATTGTTCAATCTCGAAAGGGTCAGGACGGGGATCCACGTCCAAGTGCAAGGGTATCTAAAAATATGATCGAATCTGCCTGTTCGCAACGCTTCCAGAAATATTTTCCTCCCTTCGGAAACGATCCCATTGCCGCCCCGTCGAAATTCCTTCGGGACGAAAAAAAATCCTGCGATTTCTTCTCGATCGATTTCATCGGCCCTGGAGGGGAAAGGGAGAGAATACGATTGGGCAATTGCGCGGTATCTCGGCCCCGAAAACACGAGGCCCGCGGATTCTAACACGTCCGAAACGGATCTAAAATTATCAGCCGGGTGACTCACGAGTAAATCTACCTGAAGCGGAGTTTGTTTCAGGAAACGATAAAACCGTTGAACAACAAGCGCGTGTCGCCGTGGAAAGGGTAAATAGTTCGCATTAATTATCCCCCCCCCCACTTCCACCCGTCGATCGAGAAATTACACGGTCGGAAACGAGCAAGAACCCGCCGAGGATTGGGGGTGGAAAAAGTTGACCCGTGGAACGTGGTTGCTTGTTGGTCGGGCAAAACAACTGGAGCAAGCTGTTGATAAAAGTTTTTCACGTGAAA